GTTTTGAAAACAATGTACTGTTACTGGCTGAGATTGCGTTAAGTTATTATCGGACGCAAAAAAGGATGGTCCGTGTGAGGGTCGAACTCACGACCTTGGCGTTATCAGCACCACGCTCTGCCGACTGAGCTAACGGACCAATCGTACCAAGTGGATGTTGAGTTACTTTACAAATCAAATTTTTGGGGGATTTCATTTGGTCAATCATTCAAAGTATGAAATCTGGACAAGAAAAAAAAAGTATTTATGTTATTCTTCTAGATTTTAAACATAAACTGACTACTTTATTGTAACCCCTCAAACTTCAACACTCCCTTGCCAATTTTTTTTTTTTTTTTTCACGCAGAAAAGGGCTGGTTTTCTTAATTTAATCTTGGTAACAGACTGATACTTTGACTGATTTTTACTATTAAGCACTGAGAATAAAATAATATCTACAAGTGTTAAAATTGTGGCAAATAAATAAATTAAACCATATGGAGAATCCGGGCATCGATCCCGGTACCTCCCGCATGCAAAGCGGGCGCTCTACCATTTGAGCTAATTCCCCAAAGCGTAACCAGTTGGCTCAATAAACAAGCTTCTAAATTGAAAAAACAATGTTAGAGGCATGACCTGGTCATTAGTTTTAAGCTTTTTTTTGACGAGTGTACTTAGAATTTCATTTTAGAAAAACAAATATAATTAAAGAAAACATGTTACTTTTCACTCTAGTTCCTTGTTATTTAGAACATAAGCAGGCTACTGATATTGACAAGACATGATTAGAAAATAACTAAATGGGAAACAACTTCTAATTTCTAGATAATTATTTTAACAAAGTATATACTTCTTAAAAAATAAAATCACTCAGTTTGAACACACAGCAGTAACTGACACTTCTAGGCGGGTGTTGTACCTCACAAGACCCAGCTTATGGTAACTTATTAGTATGGTAACTTCCATGTGCGAAGGCTTTTTTTAACTTCATTATATTGTAAGTATTATATCTAACTATTGTGAAGGTAACGTAGATATGGTTAATTTAAAAAATTTACGAAGGCAGTTATAATTAATAAAAGACTGCAGCCAGGTTAATTTGTCTGGTCCGTTCGCTCAGTCGGCAGAGCGTGGTGCTGATAACGCCAAGGTCGTGAGTTCGACCCTCACACGGACCAAATTTTTGCTTTAACTGGAACACACTATCTTAAGATTTGTAACTGATTTCCCTGCTCT